CGAGAGCAGGTCCGGGCAGGAGCAGGGACGAGGCCAGAGGCGACTGGGAGAGCTGTGGCTGGAGCGAGGCACAGCCGCCTCCCAGGGCTCACCTGCGGTGACAGTGACGGCACCCAGCAGAGCCTCCTTGTACTTGCGCAGGCTCTCGTCATCTTTGTCCAGCTCCTGGATCTCCTGGATGCTCTTCTGGGCAGGTGGCTTGTAGTTGACAGAGTGCTCGTCCTCCTCGTTCTCAGCCGCGATCTGGGCCAGCTGCTCCGCTGTGGGCTCCTGCTCTGCCATCCTCACACCAGTCTCACTGCAGCGGGGAGGAGAGCTGTGCTGCACCCACCCGCTCCGCCCCAGCCATGCAGCCCGGCGCGCAAGAGGGAAGAACTCAGCCTCAGAGCTCCACACACCAGAGAGAAAACGCTCTGCTGCACCAGAGCAAGCGGGTGAGGCTCCCCTCAGAACAACCCTGAGCCCAGAACGAACCCAGGTCCGCTCTGCTCCCTACGGGTAAGAACAGGGCTCTGCCCCGGAGCCTCTGCTGCAATCTGGAGCTGACAGTCGGTAACTCCACCAGATCGATCTGCTCTGCGCGGGGCGCCTCGGAGGAGGGGAAGGAGACAGCCGGCTCAGCTGATCCTGCGCTCGGTCCTTGCCAAAGGTCCGTGTCGCACACAGCCAGTGAGAGCCCTGGGATTAAAAACCTGCGCAGCTTGGCTCCGCTGCCCCGACTGACCGGGAAACACCCGCTGAGGGTTGGGGAGAGGTGATGCGACGCCCGTTAAAAGCTGATCACATCCTCAGCAATTCCTGATGTTCCACAGGGCGTGCTGCCCTCGGGGTCACCCTGCGGCATATATCAGCTCGGACTCTCTGCAGACTCTAAGAACTCTCTCAGTGGCAGCTTTTGAAAGGCTTTCTGCATAAGCAAATCTTTCACAAACGACCTGCCGATGGATCCAGGTGTTTTTGTCATCACCTGGCATCCTGCCGGAGCTCTGCGCCAGCACACACACAGACACCGGAGCTGCACCCGCTGTCCCGCACCCGGTGTCCAAATGCATCAGGAACTACAGCAGCTGCTGCAGATACACCTCACACACAGTGTGCTTAAAGACTGGCTCAGTTACACCCCACACGCACCTGAAGCTGCCCAAATGAGCCACCGTCCATCCCCGCGCCTTTGAGTGACCTACACAGCAGCACACCAGGGCTCAGCCCCGAGGACGTGCTGGAGAAACACCCCCTCACCCCTGCCCACAGCCGCACCCACAGCAACAAACGGCTCCAGCCCCGCTGCACCCCCCAGGAGGAGCAGGTTCCTGGCCAGAGGCGAGGGTCCAGGGCGCCCAGGACACAGTGGCAGGGTCAGGCGGCAGCGGGCGCCCCAGCACCACATCC